TGGTTGTCTTAAGCTGGGCTCTTTCGATTGCTAGTGACAGGTGGTGCGAACTTTTTTTTTAAGTTCCCGGAACCATGGCCCAGGAAGGGGAGTGATGCACCGGGGCCTGAGGGACTCCTACCCGTGTTGACAAGGGTGGCTCCTGCTGCAGGTATGTGGGTTGGCTGGGGAAACCCTGACCCTCATGTCTCATTTTTAGACTCAGATTGCAGTGACAGCAGATACCTGGAATATATTCTGGCATCACTATGTCAGACGCTCAAGTGCGAACATCCAGATGCCAAAGCAAGTTCCAAACCGCTACGCGCATCACATCTGCTAGCATCCCTTTAGCCAAAGCAAGTAATGTAGCCAAACCCAAAGGAAAGGCTGGGAATTAACTGTGGGAGGCGGGGGAGGGAGACTATATGACACTACTGTGTAGGAGTGAAGAGCTAGAACCAATCATTCAATCGGCCACACGTTCCATGTGATTTCCTTACTCAAGCCTTCAGGCTGGGCATGGTCCTGAGACGTCCCCAGCCCTCTGTACATCATGGAAGCTCTACTGGATTTATTCTTCTGACCCAGATTCTTCCTGGAAATGCCTATTTATGAGCCAGGCGACATACATCAAGGGTCTTTGGCCTGTCAAGGGAGAGACCACCCTCGGATCAATCATCCATCTCTAGGCCAAATGGGGGTTATCCCTGAGCAGGGAGAAGTCTAGCACTATTTTCCTGCAGAGTAGCCTTGGTGAAGCAGCCTCATCTAGAAGGGCAAGTTGGGCATGGGTGGTACCATGACTGGTTTATCTTGAACAGGGAGCGTCTAAAGTCCCCTTTTCCTGGGCTGGAGGTCTAAGAGGTTAAGTGCCCTATAGGTCTCTGAGAAACTTTGATTTGTGGCTGGGCCCACACCTAAGGGTCATCAGTCTGTGCTTTTTGCCTTTCATGATAGAAATGGCCCTTTTCTGATTAAGAGAAAGACAGTGGCTTATGGGTAACGGAGATTTGAGGGGCAACCTTTGGATCTTGCCAGAATTAAGGCTGACTCCCCTCTCTGCTTATTCTAACTCTGATTCCTTTAGTCAGATGAGGCAATTAACGACACTCCTTTTTACTTTTCATTAACCACAATGCTTAGGACTAGTCATCTGTTACCCGTGGCCGCCTGCCCTCAGATGTGAGGTAGGATGCTTCAGCTGTTCAAACAGGATGTTGAGTTGTTCTGTCCTTGCAGAGAATGGGGGAGGGGGACGACAGAGTTGACTGGCCAGGCTTTGAAGCCAAGTCTCTGTCTACCCTTTGTTATGTTGCCACGGAGACATCCAATCATGACTCTTATGCCCTTCTGCAAAAGTTTCCCCATTATTCCCTTATAGAAATAGAGAGTGTAAACAAGCATGCCTCTTAAAGAGTCTTATTGGAGAAAATGTACCATGTATTATGTAATCTTATTTCTCATGGCAATCTGAAGCCCTTGTTCTGCATTAAGTATACAAAGTTTTGTGCAACTTGTTTGCAAACAACAAGCAATATGAACAATCTGTTCATTCCATCTGCTTCCCATGAGAGGGAGGAATCATTATATAGCGCTATCAGAGGATCTGCCAGCCCACAAGGGGGTGTTCCTGGGGGTGTCCCATAATCGAAGTCCTGACTTTAGGGAGGTGGTGGCCCCAGCATCTTCTGGGAGAGCTCTTTCAGAAGAGGAGTCAGGACTTCGGCCTCTGGAACTTTCTCTTGCCAATGTGTGTGGCATTATCATAGCCACTCTGGGCTCTTGAGGTAGCTATGAGGAAAGTGCTTAAGTGGACAGTTGGATCGTTCCTGTGGAGAACAATGAAATAAAGAGGTGGTGGGTTTTCTGAGGTTCTGCTGGCAGTTGATGGGGAAAGCACTGGAGATGGGAATGTCCAAAATGAAATAAACTGAGGCTCTGGTACTCAGAGGAGAGAGAGGGAGGGAAGGATGGGGGGAGGGGAAGAGAGAGAGTGGGAAAGAGGGAGAGGAAAATGTGGGGGAAAGACAGATAGAGACAGGGATATAGATACAGATAGATAGATAGATAGATAGATAGATAGATAGATAGATAGATAGATAGATAGATAGATAATAGATAGGCAGACAGACTGACTGAAAGATTTCCTGTGATTTTTCCATCCAAAGGTTGCCCACCTATTCTCCCTGGCATTTGCCGGGAGCTGTAACTGCATCGTCCCACTTGACCTTCATAATGACCTGGACCCAGAAGTTTCTATCAGCTTCTTATGGATGAGGAAACCCAGGTGAAAAGAATGGAAGTGATCTGTCCAAAGCCATCACAATTACCAGCGTCCTGGGGTCTTGGAATCAGGCTCCCAGCCTAGGTGGTTGACCTGGGCTGCATCTCCAAATTGGCCCCATCGTCTGGGAGGCTCATTAAAGAGACCCCAGGCCAGGCTCCATTCTGAAGCTACTCACCAGAGGTCTGGGAAGAGGCCTGGGAATGTGTATTTTTAGTAAGCATCCAGGTGGTTCCCACCATCAGCGTAGTTTGGGAAACAGAGACGCATCCAGATGCTGTCCTCAAAGCTGATTGTGAAGGACGCTGCCTCGGACCATTCTGACGGGTCACGGGGAAGGAACGCTTTAAACAGCAAGGCCGAGTGGTGCACAGCAAACAATGATGGTAACCGGATGGTCCAACAGTAAGGGAACAGGGAAGCACGTGATGATACATAATACCAAATACAGAACGCCAAATGTCCATTACATGTGCTTTGCCAAAATAGATTTATTGATATGGAAGCATATTCATGACTCTTAATGAAGAAAATATCCGGGAGCAACGTGGACAGCATGGCACCATGTGTGTAAATTGCAATCTTCAACCTACTGTTCATGGGGAGATGTCTGAGTGGCCAGTCGGGGATGGCCATCAAGAATGTCTTTGGACGCAGCAAGTAACAAATGATGGAGGCTGTCCACTGTGGCCGCTAATGTGGGGACAGTGACCTAAAAAGTGTGCCCTGCCTAAAGGCAACAGAATTTAACAATTTCAAGGGAAATGGTCCTGCCAAACAGATACGCAGGCCACCTGGTCTGTAATTTATACACTAAATATTAACGGGGCTTGCTTCTGGGTGGTGATGTTTGGGGGTTATTTAATTGAAAAAAATTATATAGAATTCAAAAAAAATCTAATTCTTTTTCAGCTGTGACTATGCATATGCGATTTATGAAAAGACAAGTAAGAATGAAAGCGTAGGGCTGAGCTGCTGGGTCATTTGGGCCTCCTTTGTTGTTGGCATGAAAAGGCCTCTCTCTGGTCCTCCCTGCAGTAGAGGGCCCCCCAAGCTATGCTCTTTGAGGTTAGGGTGCCACAGTCCTGAGCCTAAGGCAGGGGCTGAGCTCTAGACTCTTTGAGAAACCATTTGCTTTGCAAAGAAAGCACAGAAGCACGCAACGGGAAGAGGCCTGGTGGTACAGCACCCAATAAACACAAGCCCTTAAAAAATTCCCTGGAAACCTCCTTTTCCCAGGCTTCCCTTGAGACCTCTGCACTCCCAGCTGTGACTTTGGGGCTTGCTCTATCTGGGCCTCAGCTGGCTTACTGATTAAAAAGAGAAAAAAAAAATCTTAGGAAAAGTGTCTGTCTGCCCTGTCCCTACCCCATCCTGTGGCATCAGTGGGACCCCAAGCCCCTCCTCTGCCTTTGCAGGGTCCTGTGCCTCACATGGCACTGGAAAGTCTCTGAGGCGCCTTGTGCCCTCCACTGGACCTCAGACCCCCTGTGGTTCTTTACCTGGGTGCTTAAATGTCATTCTCTGGCTACAAAGGTAAAGAAGGCAGCAGGCCTGGAACCTAGGCCCGACTCCTCGCCACGTGACTTCACGATCCTGGGGCCTTTGCTAAGTTAAGTCACCTTTCCAGGTTGCATTTCCTGCATCAGTTAAGTGAGGTCTGATGGGCTTTGGGGCTATTTACAAGTGCTCTCTTCTCCCCCCACCTCTCCCCATTACAGGTGAAGGAAGCCCAGGTTCACAGAGGTGGTGTGACCTGCTTGAGCTCACGGTAACAGACAGATTCAGGCCCAGGTAGTTCCTGGCCTTCAGCGAGCACCTTGCAGCCCCAAACCCCTGACTGCGCTGCCCTGGCCCTCTGCTGCCAAGACGAGGCTTTCTGAGTCGACTTCCGGGGTAGAGGTGAAATGCATCAGCTCAGCCACACTCCCCGGGCCAGCTGTACTGTCACCAGGAGAGGCAGGGGTGGTGGGAAGCTGTGTGACGTGAGGCTGGACTAGTCACCTGGCTGCAGCGGGGCTCGAACCCGCAGCCTGGGCCATGCAAGGTGCTGACAGCATGTGGCCTTGGCGCCGGAAAGTCTGATCCTGCTGTGTGAACTTGGAAAAGGCATTCAGCCTTCTTGAGCCTTTCCCCTCACCTTGTAAAATGAGGGTGAGGATACACGTCTCACGGGGTCGCGTGAGGGTCCCAGAGCCCGGGTGGGAAGGGCTGGGTAAAGGACATAGGCCTGGGGGCGCGTTTGGGTATTGCTATGCTTGTCCAGGTGGGCTTGGCACTCTTAGGCTCTGAAGTCCCAGGGCCCCTGGCAGCCTCTCCCTGCCCCGTCCCCTCAAGAGTCCTTCGGATCCTGAGTTTGCCCAGTGCGTGTTCTTGGGCTGTTCTACGTGAGAGCCAACATAAGACGAGGCACGTGGCGCTGCGGGAGAGAGTGCTGCTGCTTTGGCTGGCAGGCACTCAATGGGCAGACTTATTTCCAGACTGTGGATAAGGACAATCTAGAAGAAGCATTGGGGAGCCGTTCAGAGGATGGAAAAAGCAGTTTTTCCCCTCAATAAATTTCAAATTAGTAGACTTAAAAAAAATCACTGGGGCTTCTACTGTCTAAATAAAACAGTTTCAGTTCAACAGTCACGTTCAGGTTTTTTTTTAATACAATAAAAAATATGCATAGGCAAAGGAATGACACGATGTGTTAAAATACCACAATGCTGGAAAAAAAGGACATCGATACTTTTTTTTTTCCTTTGCACCTTTATTGTTTACTCTGTTCACTGCTCAGAATTTTCATACAGTCTTTCTGGAATCACACATTCCATTTTATTCCAAACCAGCCTCCTCTTGTCCCTCGTCCTTATTGGTATGATATTCTGCCAGTGTCCAAGGAGTTCCCAGGGGTTATTTTTCTGAGGAGGTGGAAGGGGAGGGAGTGTGCAGAGCTGGCGCTCAGCAGGGCCATCGGGTTTGTGTCCCGACCCCGAGGCCCTGTCCTGCTATGTCCACCTCTTGTCTCCTCTCTTCCCAGCAGCATCCAGGCCCTCACTGGGCTAAGGAATCGGGCAGATCAGGGTTTGAGTCCTGACTCGCTATTCCTAGCCACGTGATCTCAGGGACATCTCCTGGCCTCTCTGAGCTCTCCTTTCTTCTCCTACAACATGGGGGAAAGACGCCCTCTCTCATGGGATACTGTGAGGATTCAATGCCTTAAGGAATATAATGCATCTGGTACAGTGCCTGGCACACAGGTCAACTTCACTCTTTCTGGTGGGAAAGACACTTGATGAATCACTGTCAGAGCCAGGTGCTCAGGGGCGTTTGCTTTATAAAAGAGCCTGGTCCCTTAGCCAAGCCCAAGAAATGACTCTCTAATGGTGGAGTTTCAGACACCACAGCCTGGAGAGGGACAGGCCTGGCAGCGGAGACCTCTGGGCATCATTCAAATCCAACTAGGCAGGTTGCTGCTTCTTTCACCCACGGGCAAGGCTGGCGCTGGCAGAAGGAATCCTGACCCTCTTTTTAAGGCTACGCCACTGCAGCCTGGAAAAGGCAGTCTCGGGGAGCCAGCAGAACAGGGCCAATCTGTATTTATTCAACCATCCCTGCCGAGGAGAAAGTAGCTTCGTGTGGGTGTAAACCAGGAGCTTTAAGAAGCGCAGCAATCCTTGAGGGCGATCGTTATGTCCCTTCCAGTGCCCTTGAAGAGTCACCTGTCCCAGGGGTGTCCTCATAGCCTGAAGTGAGCTCTCACACTGCGGAGTCCATGTGTCATTCACACCCCATCTACTTTGAAGAGGATCCCAGGTGGCTCGCTAAGGAAGGGACTATGCACCTAATGCTGAGCTTTTCCCGTTTCTTTCCATCTTTCATGGTACATGGCCATTAAAATCAAAACCTGATCAATGCATGGTCACAAGAATGAAATGAGAATGCTGTCAGTGAGAAGCGGAACGGTCCATCCTACAGTTGGTTTGCAAATAGAGCTGCGCTCTTCCTCAGTGGTAGTCCTTTAGAAATTTCTTGAAGCTGATGGATCACACAGCCTTTGTTCATGCATAATTCTTAGTAAGGATACGGTGCATCCAAGGTCCACATGCCCACAATCACTTTGTGTCTCCTATATAACAACAAAAAGCCACTCAAAGGACAATCCAAAAACATGCACCAACCAAGACTATGGAGGGTATTATGGAAAAATGTCCTTCAGACCAAAAAGAGAAAGAGAGAGACGGTAAAAGATAAGAGACATAGGACTCGAATGCCTACACAACAGAACATCTGCGGCCTAGGGGGCAAAGCAGATCGAACCAACGAAAGCTCTAGGAATCCAGGGGTACCTCTCCAAATATTTGGTTCATGCTAAAAAATAGAGCACATTTATTAAAAATATATATTTATAAACCTTGATACACACGTCAGGCCAATGAAAAAAGAAAAATAAGTTATCTCCCCAGTATCAAATAGACACTTTTGATGAGTGGGGTGCCTGTCCAAGGACTGCCCCTATGGTTTTCCACGCTAAACAGCTCCTGAACTGAAGATGAAACGCATGTCCTGGGAACGTGCCGAGGAGCTGCGTCTGCCCTGTTGCTCTTTTCGGGTGTGTGGTATCTGCCTGCGATCTGGGGTAATAAATGTCTGTACCCATCCGCTCGCCAATGGCGTCAAAGCCTGGTCTTCCAAGCCGTCTTCTGGGCCCCCTGCCAAAGACGTTGAGTTCCTTGTTGTGTTAATGAGTTCTGTTGGATTCATTGTGCTTTTAGAGTCTGCTCCTTGCAGCAGGATCGGTTTATTTTTGTGACCTTTTATGAAGTTCGAAGGTGCATTTGATCGAGTGGTTTGTGTAGGTCATGCCTGCTTGTTTGTGCAGTATCCAGTCACTGCTTGGTTGACATCCAGGACTCCCATCTTTTGGCCATCCCGAGGTGTCTGAGGAGCCTCTGGGCCATTCACAGAGTGGTGTATATGTATACGAATATGATGACGATCAGGTTCAGGATGGTCCCGATGATCCCCAGCATCGCCAAGACGCTCTCCTCTTTGCTCTCTTTTTCTTGACCTCCTCTGTCCTCGTCATTTCCATTTGTGATTACCATCTTGGTTGCAAATGTCTTTATCTTCCTCCCTAGGCTAACCTGTAATTGGAAAGAGGCAGCACAAAAGATTTATCATTATTGAGCACCTCCCCCATAGCCAAGCAGGTTTGGTAGGGGTGGTGATTTCATGCCTGGGGACTACTAGGTCAGAGTGTGGCTTACCAATTTCAAGGATGAATGTCCTGACATTGGCATAAAGAGAATCGTCCAGGAGTCTAGCTTGGGCGCCACCCACTCTATCGGGCTTGTTTCTCCCTGTTCCCTGAAGCAGAAATGGAGACAGCTGCATGGCAGTCAAACTAAACCTTGCGTGTTCTCCCGTGCCAGCGGGAATTTTACACATGTCCACGTACTGGATCACACCCAAGACCTGGACTGTCCTACATATGCACAAAGGGTATAGAGGGCGTCCCAGTCACAACCATCCCGAGTCCTAGCTGTGATACGGGCAGGATGGACAGAGCCTGAGAAAGCAATGTCCTGAGACCAGATAAGACGGTAAGGGTACAAGGCACCCTAAGAAACATGCATAACCTCTAGCAGGAGTATACACTGGTAAAATCATTCTGGAATGTTCCCTGGTATTACCCAGGAAAGCGAAGAGACACATAGCCTACAACTGGGTTGGGCACCTGTTCCCCTAGGTGTGTACCCTAGAGAAAGGCCTGCACCTGTGCACCTGGAGATGTGGACAGGAACAGTCCTATGAGCTCTGCTCCATGTGTGACAGCAGAGGACTGAGTGGGGGCTACCCAAACATGCACCAAGAACAGGACAGACAAACACGTCCATATGATGGAATATTATACAGCAGTGAAATGAATGAACTGAGCCTACACGTGACAATGTGGATGAAGCCCCAACACTTAATGCAGAGTGAAGAAACATGTTGCAGGGGCTGGTCGAGTGGCTCAGTTGGTTAAGAGCTCGCTCAAGAGTGCAAGCTTTGAGCAACAGGGTCGCCAGTTTGATTCACGGCCCGAGCTGAGCTGCCACTGAGCTGCCAACAGGTGGCAGGATGGCTCAGCTAGAAAAAAAAAAAAAACCATGTTGCAGAAGAATACATATGAGTCAACTCATAAAGGCTCAAAGCAGGCAAAACCAAGCTTTATACTGTTTAGAGACATATACATTATTTTTTATAAAGAGCAAAGGAATGATTAACACAAGGACAGACTGGGAGGCCCAGGGGGAGGGGCACCACAGGCCTTCAACATGCTATTTTCCATTGTTAAGCTGGGTGGGAGGTACTGGGGTGTTCATTTTTTATCATTATCCTTTAAATTGTAGACATAAGTTTCAGAGATTCTTTCGCACGTATGATATATTTTGCAATAACTCAAATAAGTTTATTTTATCTTGTAAGATAATAAACATGGCCGTCCAGGGGGCCTGGTGGGCAGCTGAAGCCTCTTTCCCACTGACCACTAATCCAAACCGCATGTCAAAAAGTATCAATGTGTGTGCGGTGACAGCGGCTTGTCTACTTGATGGGGTGTGACCGGGATCAGCCCGGGGCCTCCCAGCCTCATTTCTTTCATTAGAGAGCTGTGCCTTTAGAGCCAGAAGGCTTTTCATGCTCCAGGGTTATGATGGTTAATTTTGTGTGACAACTGGACTGGATCACGAGGTGCCCAGACATTTGTCAAACATTATTCTGGATGTGTCTGTGAGGATGTTTCCGGGTGAGATGAATATTTGAGTTGGTGGATGGAGTAAAGCAGATTGCCGTCCCCAGTGTGGGTGAGCCTCGTCTAATCAGTTGACGTCCAGCAAACAAGAAAAAGGCTGAGAGTAAGGCCAGCTCCTGTCTGACTGCCTTTGAGCTGGGACATCAGCTTTTTCCTGCTTTCAAATTCAAACTGAAACATCGGCTCTTCCTGGGTCTTGAGCCTGCTGGCCTTTCTCCTGAAACTAAAGCATTGACTCTCTTGTGTCTTATGGTTGCTGATTCACCCCGCAGACCTTGAGACTTGCTGGCCTCCATAGGACAAAAGCCATTTCCTTATAATAAATCTCTTTGTCTCTATCTATCTGCCCTCTCCCTCCCTCTCTCTCTCTCTCTCTCTCTCTCTCTCTCTCTCTCTCTCTCTCTCTCTCTGTTTCTCTCTCTCTCTCTCTTTATGGCTCTGTTTCTCTGGAGAACCCTGACTAATGCAGGGGTAAAAAAATATGTCATGGAAAATGTCCGGAAAGGATGACAAACTGGAAAACAGGAATCCAGGAATGCAGGGAGTAGGGCTGCAAAGTTAAATGTCTGCACTCCCCTCCCACCGGCATGTGAACCACTGAAAGGGCAAGGTCGTACCTTGAGGATCAGGTCTGGATTCGGAACATATTATATAGGCAGATAGACGTCTGTGTGAAGGGGAGACAGGCAATCAGTGAAGACTGGGGGAATTAATGCAATATGAATGTGCACATAAATGAAAAGATGAATGTTTTAAAGATATGTTTCATTTCCTTCACAACTTTGTTTTACTACATAGGCTTAGAGGGAGTTCCTACCCCCACTCCCCAGCTCATCCAGGCAAAGGTTCTAGTTGGAGCTATTTGGTTTTCTTTTTCTCTCCTTGTATAGTTTTTAATGATGTATAATAAACATACAGAGATGTGCACAGACTTTAAATGTACAGCTTGATAAATGTTCACATCTGTTTAGCTAGCTCCAAGATCAAGAAACAGAACCTGCCAGCACTCCAGGGGGCATTCCATTCCACTCACTATCCTTTTTCACTTTTCCCCCACAACCTCATCCTGGCTTCTGAAAACATCCTAAGTTAGTCTTGCCTGTTCGTGAATTTCACAGAAATAGAATCATACAGCATGTCCACTTTCGAGTCTGTTTTTTCCCCCCAAACATTATGTTGCCAAGATTCACCCATGTTGTGTGCAGCCATGGCTCATTCATTCTCATGGTGAACAGTAAGTATCCCGTTATATAAACAGACGCACAATTTATGTGTCTATTTTGCTGCTGCTGGGTGTTCGGGTGTTTCCTGTGTTAGGCCATTATGTTGCTATGAACATTCTTGTACATGTCTATTGGCAAACATACATGTGCATTTCCCCCAATGTTTTATATGACATTTTTCAATATAGGAAAAAAATTTACAGGGAGCACCCAAATGCTCATCATCTAAATTCCACCATTAACATGTTAACTATACATGATTTATCAGATGTCTGCCCATGCCTCTCTCCATCCATCTTTTTTTAGAGGGGTGGGGAGGTGAATTTCAAAGTAAACTGCAAATATTATTACTTCCTCTGAAATACTATAGCAAGCACATATTAACTAGAGTTCAATATTTGTTTGCAATTTTTTCTTTTGGGGTAAAATTTATATGGGTGCAATTTCCTACTGGCCACTAACACCCAGGAGAGAAAACCTGGGGTATAGCATATGCATGTGTTTGGCTTTAGTAGATACTGCTAAATGTCTTTTCAAAGTAGTCGCATCTGCTTGCTTGCTTGTGAGTGCTAGATTGACCCCCTCTTTTATTTTGGTGACTCCATGGCCCGGCCTTTCCATGAAGTCGCAAGGAGTAAGTGCTTTAGAAATCCACCCCCTTCTCTGCTCTGGACAGATGTCCCTCCAAGCACCAGTTATCTCTTTAATGGGTTTCTTGTTTGAGCCCTGAGAGGGTAAGCTTTTGAATCTCTACCTCCAAGAACACGCATCTGGCATGGACCAGGTGCTTGGGGAAAGCATGCTGAAGGAATGAGTGGGTACTGTGGGGTGATCCGGCATGTCCCCATCTCTGCAGGGCCGCAAATAGATCGCCACGGTCAGTCGAAAGAGACACAATTAGTGATGCCCTTAAAACCAAAGACCCATCATTATGGTCACTCAAGCAAAACAAAGCGCCTGTCACAGAGGATGCTTGGTTTCAAGTCTTAATTTAGCTTCTTCCCTGAGTTAACCTGAGATAACTCTGACTCAGGAGGCAGTGGAATGGACTAAGAAATGGACTGTGTTTACTTTCTAAGGACACTGCAGCAAACCTAGGGCCCAGAAAAGGCCTTCTCCGACTCACAAACAAGTTGCATCACAAAAGTTTGTTTCTAAGGTACTTGAGTCATCAGCCTGAATTTCCCCATAGAAACCATGTTGGCAGCTGAATTGACAAGGGAGCTACGGAAGGCTTCTTAGGGAGACGTATTTGGAACACTGTTATCTTTGAAAAAGTGATCTGGCCAGGATGTTAAAAATGAAGAGTGGTAGAGGAGAAGGAAAGAGGCTGGAAGATCAGCTTGGAAATCAGAGCAGTAATAGAGTTAGGAGGGGAAAACAAAACCAAAATAAAACAAAAAAGCGAAGGCTGAGACTGGGTAATGTCTGACATAAATAAAACGTATTGCACAGCTATAAATTCATTCATTCACTCACTCATTCACTCATCCTTCCTGCCAGGGGCTGGGTGCAAAGGGTAATAGGGGGTGACAGCTAATGGGAAAGGTCTTTCTTTTTGCTATAAAACGTTCTAAACTTAGATTTTGGAAATGGTTGCACAACTTCGTGAACATACTAAAACCACTGAATCGTACACTTTAAATAGGTGATTTTTGTGGTTTGTAGATTACATCTCAATAAAGATGTTTATTTTAAAGAGACATATAGTTTCCGACATATAAAGTATCTAGAAGCAAATCTAACAAAAATGTGTAACATCTTTATAAAGAATATTAGAAAACTTTACTAACAGACATAAAACTAGACATACACAAAAAGGAAGACATACCATCTTCACGGAGCACAGGATTAATATCCTAAAAACATTAGTTGTTCCTAATGTAGTCTATAGAGTCACTGCCGTTCCAGTCAAAATTTCTACAGGGTTTTTGGTGCCACTTGACAGGCTGATCATAAAATGTATATCAAAGTGCAAAAGGCTAATAATAGCCAAGATATTTACCAAAGAAGAATAGGTAGGGGGACTTGCCTTATAGGACATCAAAAATTATTATACAGCTTTAGTAATTAAACCTAGATGAATAAACCAAAAGAACAGAAACAGAGCTATGCATGCACGGGC